AGTCTAGGATGAATACCTCAATTCTGCTGTCAAAGAAGTCCGATTACTTGTAAGAGTTCCCTGGTTGTAGGAAGAGTGGGCGAAAGGTACGGATCTCCTCAATGCCTTCCGTGTACACGTGACAGGTGATGGGACCACGGGGCTGTCTTGTCAAAGCCAATGAGAAACGATAGCATTCTAGATTTTTGATAAATGGATAATCCCGGGAGCAGAGAAAGGAGTGATTGTAAGTGGGAAACTGAACAAAAGTAAAAAAGTGCGAAGGGTAAAATTAAACGACTCTATCCGTAGTGTGTATATAAGAAGATTAGTTATTCACATCTGAGGGGATTTCGAGCTCTGAATCTGCACCATCGGGAAGACCATAAGTCCAGCTAACTTTGAGATCAGTTAAATTACTTGACGAAGCAAAAAGACATTCCAGTTCAGTGACAGGTTCGTGGAATGAGTACAAAGACTTTGTGTTCAAACTGTAAACCCAAAAAATGTCACCTTAAAGTTAAAACATGCACAACAAATTACCCCATAGTGACTTTGCATGGAAGGGTTTCAATTCAAGAAGGTGGGCGCAGACTGGGACCGAACAGGTTGTATCAGAACAACATTGATAAAATCCGGTACTAGATATGTTTCCATTTAAAACTTGGAGGGATCCATTTTGAAATATCACCGATTGAGAGCTAAAGTTAGATAAGCTTGTAATAGACGTACTCGGAGGAAATAAGTGGGAGTCCGTAATGGAACCATGTACAAGGAACCAACTTCCCACTTTGGAAAAGGGGATGCACAGAAAAACTCTCATTGTATGTAAAGTACACATTGCTATATCTAGCGCTGCAAAATCTCACTAAAACGATGCATATAAGATGCAGAGCAAGCAGCATGTAGGAACTACGGCCCTCAAAACTGCTCGGGAGATGCGTCGTAATACAAAAGCAATTCGAACTTTTTCCAAAGTCAATGACACCGAACTTTGACTCAGTCAAACGTATCCTTTTCCTGCCAAAATAACAAATTATACTTTAAAATAGTACTATATATGCCTTAAATTAATTTTTATGTTAGTTTACGAGCACGAATTCTTAATGCACTCAAAATAAATGCAAAGTGGTGATAAATTTTGGAACTTTATACTTGATCTCTCAACATCACTATCGAAATGACAAAATAGCGACCTCTTTTCTGTAATGAGTTGCCTATTTGACTATCTGGCGTTCGCCGATCACTTTAAGACTTCTCTGACCCTTATGCTCGTGGACTAACTCTCGAGCCACTTATTTTGTCTTCTCTGGAATGTACGTACCCAGCCCGACTTACTGTCTTATTCCGCCCGGTGAGAAGTCTCGAGACGCAACAATTACCACCCGCCACATTTGCATGCGGCACACGCCCCACATCCGACCCCAACCATGCATCGTAAACTCCAGAAACCCTTGATAGGTTAAATTCTGTTCAATACGCAAAATGAAGTATTTTTAACTCATAGAAATTAATAATGCACATCATGTTAGGGTATCACTTGACGCTGTGCGGCAGAAGTGCTGCGACTGCTGGGGGGCCTGAGTATTGGTTCAGGAAACGCTATTTTCGCCGATCCCGGAAGCACACGACATATGTCCTCCTCTCTGATAGCTTGAATCAGTTGTTTCTCCAGATCGCTCGCTTCTTTGTCCATGGTAAAGTGATGGATAGCCACTCTCGTAACTACGCGGAAGAAGAACATAAACATTAGAAGGATTTTGACGCAACACTTACTCTCGCCTTTCTTTTGAACGCCCGGAACCAGTTTCGCCTTGTATTTAAATTTCTGCAGAGCGCTGAATGGTGCACAGAAAGGTAGAGCGAAGAGGAGAGTGTCCTCTGCCAGCGGTTGTCCTGTTAGCGTTTCCAACAGCGAAACATCCCCCAGCGAACCAGCAAAATCGACCTTCCCATCGTCTTCCTCCAACCTAGAAGAGGATGCATTCACCTTTCCCTTGTCTTTCTTGTCAACCATCTCTGAATGTTCCTCCTGCCCATTGTCGTCAAAACGTGGAAGTGAATGTTCTTCAGCCACTTTTTCAACTTCCACATTGTTCTCTTCCACCTCCACCTCCCCGTCCTCTTCCTCGGGATGAGGAGGCTTGCCGATAGCATGGACCGCACTCAGCTTTCCACTTGCGCCTTGAAGAATGCGTTGGCGCATCTGACGCTCTTCATCATCTTGATCGGCGTACTTTTGTCGTATGCGCTTCATTTTTGCCTTCTGTCCACGTTTGAGTGGATTTGGTCCCATGGATTTGGCCTTTGACTGTGGTCGGCTTGGATACTTCTCTTTAACTGGAGAATTTGTCTTTGGGGGTTGTTGAACCGCCTGTATTTGCGGCTTTTTTATTCTAAAGGTAGGCAAACGAGAGCGACTCTTGTTCAAGACAAGGTGAAATTTTATCAGAGAGGCCGTTAATAGGAGGCGGCTCGCAGACAGACACATGAGGCGCACATACTGACCAATTTGACATATGACAGATGTCTCAGACAAGTTGATGGATAACAGTTACGGTGCGCTCCCAATTGAAGCAGCCTATCACAATTTACAAGGTCTTTTGTTAGGAAAAACGGGACAATCAAAACCGGTGGATGACACCGTAGCGAGTTCGAACACCGACGGATGAACAGTTCCAGCCGCGGTAGGCCAATGGGACGTTCACGGCACGGCAATCAAAAGAGACTTAGTTTTCCAAAGTTGTGCCGTTATAAAGGATCAAATTTTTGACCCCTAGGGTGACACGCCTAGATGTCGGCGCTTCAACATCAGTGACACAGATTAGGCATGTCGAAAGTTCCAACTTGAATACAAGTTACTGATGCAGTCCTCTTGGATTATTAAAAGGGAGAAAGCGCTCACCGGTTGATGTTCAGATTGAGTGTCACATTACCAAAGGCTCTGGCGATATCGGCGTCTTCATCTTCGCTTTCTTCTGGTATGTTATCAGTCTGCGGTACAATGTCGTACCTCTTCAGAATGGCTCTAGTTTCTGCTATGGATTCCAAATCGATGCAACGTTCACCAACATGTCGTTCCACAGAATCTTCACCGAGCTAGAGGTCAGTAAAAGGATTAAGTGTGGCTCAATAGATTTATTTCCACCTACCAGTCAGTAATGAGTTTTCTACCAAAGCTTAATGCATAATCTTGAATTTAACTAAGTGGGCAGAAAAGTGGTTACAAGTTTCTTCAGGTTTATACTACTTAAATCCGAATTCAGCCAAAACTCACTTTGAATAGAATTCCAATGCCGTATGTGAGGAGACATTGGGGCAGCACATTCTTCCTGCCTCGAATCACAAACGACCCTGTCGGTAAGTATTCTCCAGACGGTGCCGTTTTGGAGACTTGGTCATACCGCACCCACCAGGCATTTGTAATGACCTTGGAGGACCACGCATTGCTCAAGGCAACTGCCATATGGCCTGCCTCAAACAGGGTTCGCATTGGTGGCTGAGGGATAGCAGTTCCACTGTCCTCTGCGTCTACAACCAAACACTTGATAATGAAATCCTGTGAGGGGAGAGAGGAAACGTGGACAGGACCTATGGGGTAATAGTTGACACCTCGAACAGGACAGAATAAGTGCCTTGATGCTCAACTTCAAAAAAAAGTGAAAGAAGAGCATGTTGATGAAACGTTACGATGCAAATCAATCAGACAACACTAGGAGCAAATGTGGTAACAATAGGCAGATGAATGCTCCAACTGCCACGCTTCCAAGTCGAGTGGATGAAAAGGCAAAGGGTGAAGCACAAAGTGGTCCTCACACGCCAAAGCTCTCCTTTCAAGGACGTGATAAACATCTTGAAGCAAGCCTTTTCTTTGACTACAACTTTCGCCTTACCTTCAGACGACTTCTCGCAGGGTTGAAGCGTTCTCGCCTTGACGATAACACTGCTAGCACCATGGATGTCGGCGTGAACGTAGATATCGTGTTGACGAAAGTAACGTTTGAACAGAGTCTCGTTTTGCACATCATCTCGACCGGCCAACACAAGGTAATTGTCCGAGCTAATGAACCAGTGAAATTTCTCGAACCTACGAGATTTCAGTGAAGGAAGACAAATGAATGGATGACAGAAATTAGGAAAGTGGGTATAACAATGCCAATTTTGCCTCAGGTTCACCATGAGGCAGACCTGCCAATGCCTCAACTTCGAAAATTCGTCCAAAACCATTCAGTCTCACACAAAGTCATTCATATATATCGGAATACCGAAAGAGCTAAGGGTTTGTTCAGAGTTAGAAAAACCTAACCGCCTCAAAAATCGTTGTCGTAGAAGAGGAAGTGAAGTGCAGAGATGGAACGTACCACACGATAGTCAAAACTAGTGCAAAGCACTCAAGTAACCCTCTCCTCTCACACATTTGACATCATTTCAAACACGTGTCTCATGACCTCAATGTCAGGCTAAGGAGAGGAAAATTTAGACGTTGCTTGCATCTCTATTCCAACTTTGGTACGACATACTGAGTTGGTGGTGGACTTCTTCGTACAATTAGTGCCTCTTCTTTCCCTATGAGCGTGGGTGTTGGCGAGTGGATGTTTGGGATCACACTGTATGAATGAATACTGCGTCCTCCCCTCCATAGTACAATCTGCACTGGCATTCGACAATCAAGTGATGGCACAAAACGATTCCTATTTCACAACCTCCACATTCCCATCATTGTCTAGGTAAAAACACTAACAGGATGGCGAGGAAATAATGACCTACCTATCGAAGCATAAGGACAGATAACTGCCCTTCCTGGGAGAAAATAATGGACAGAATGGAGGCATGAAACCCACCATAATGGCTTCCGAGTTTTCGCCAACTTTGGTGTGTCACGAACCCCCTTTCGCGTTTTCTCCGCTTTCCTGGACGCCGCTTCCAACGCCTGAAGGATCGAGTTTTGTGAACAGTAGGCGCAAAATAGAGGAGCCAAGAAGTGAGACAAACAAAACTTACCATTGCAGTGCCTGCAATTGTCTTCCGTTCCTTAGCCTCGGCCTGCCGTCGATGTGTGTA